AGAGCAAAAAAGCGAGAGGACTAGTGATGGAGAAAAATATAGGCGTTTGCGAATCTCATCTTGAGGGCATCTTCATTTCACTCGATTTATTTTTCAATACATGAAGTCAAGATAAAATCGAAATACACAATTTTGTACAGAATTTCACGCGCTATCTAATGGTATATTCACTTTTCTCAAAACATCCTTTTATGGTATCAAAAGAGCTCAAATACTGAATCCAGCTTTTGCTTTCCAGGGATATATATTCAGACAACCGAGATCGAAATGTGATTGCCTTTATATGTTGGCTGTTAAAAGATATTTGAACATGACCGAAGGACAGTGTCAAGCAGCAACAAACATGAAAAATGTTCGAAAAGCTTTGAGAGCCAGAGTGGGCGTCAAAAAAACCGGTGCTAAACGACCAACAGTGTTGGATAAAGAACCGGTAAAACGATTCGAATTCATTTTCAACAACATAATTTCTTTTTTTTTCATTAAGGCGCATCAAAGAAAACAAATAAACAATACAAAAACCATTGCTGGAAGACCATCGAAATTACCACAGGTATGTATATATTATTGACTGAGCGTGGTAATGAAATAAACAATCATTGTTTTAGCGTAAACGAACAATGGCATCGTCGGCTGATGTGTTGCGGTACGACTCTGGTTCCGATTTACAAACAGAATCGCCGTCCACCCCAAAAGTAAGTGATTATGCTGCAAATATGCTTCTCACGACATTTTGGTTTATTACTTTTCGAAGAGGTTGGCCATGGCGGATATGACGAATATGCAATAAATAACAAAAAATATTCTGACGATCGCTCTTCGAACATTCACACATGTTTCCCACTGACTTTTATTCGAATCAGTGATTGAACAATTGCATCGTCAGCAATAGTTCGTCAACATTATGTATTAACACCATAGTTGTGTTACTGTTTATGAAGTATCTGTTAAAAATTGACTGGAAATTTTTGTCTTTGTCTGTTGTTATGTCGGTTCAATGACTTTTGTCTAGCTGTAAACAGTTTATGTGCCATTGCACATTAGAGACGACCTAAGTTGTTCAATCAATATCTAAGCTTTTTGTTTATACTTGCACAGCAGGTAACAGCGACACACTTAAGAAGATTTCTAGCATTTCTTCACTGAAACTTACTTGTTTCAAAAGTTATGGAATTTTCGTGACAGGCTGAAATGATAACTATATGAAAGTGAAATTTCTTTTGTTTATCTCTTGGTCTAGGAAGTAGATTAAGAGTTCACATTTGGAGCATAAGTAGTAGAGTTAAGTAGTATCTATAGCCAAGAGCATATGCAAAAATAACTGTCGTACGTGTATGAACATATACGCACAACAAGGAGGAATTTTACTAGCGCGAAGAATTTCACATAATTTGTTTTTACCTGAAAAATATATTATTGCATTTAATATTAGTTATATTTATTGTAATCTGGAGCGTCTAATGAATTCTGATCTTTAAATCGGTTCTAGTGAGAGGATACATTCATATGGTAATGCTGAACTTGAATGTAGGTAGTTTACTAGGGCCCGTCGTTCCAGAGGAACATAAAGATAAAAACACATTGAAAAGCACAGATCAACGGAAAATTTCTATCTCTGAAGGAAATCCTCTTGTGATTGCAATTGTGGAATCCTAGTTAGTTCAAACGACAGAGGATGATGCTATAAATATTCTAAATTATTCTGGGCATAGACTTAATAGAGGTAAAACAGCAGGTGGAAGTATACTTTATACTCGAAATGATGTTAACTCCACTCGCCCTTTCCAATTTGATAAGAAAAAGTTAGCTCTACAAACTGATCACATCGGAATCTCTTGGTTAGACGACTTTGGATGGATTCCAAAGACCATGTTTCTATAGGCCTAAACAAGCATAAAGAATTGCCGTAGAGAAATTCTTAATCATTTGTGGTTCCCTCGTTAGATGCTCTCAAATATTTCGCAAAACTTGTATAGTATAGAGCTTTGTAGATCTGTCTACATGAGAAAATTAAAATTTTCCCTATTTTCTTTCACAGATGCTACAGAAAGCTTGCTGCTTCCCCGTAAGACGATCGTTATTTTGATCAGTATGTATAGTTACCAAAACCAAATGGAGAAAAATTGTTTTATAGTAGTAATTAGCGTGACGTTCTTGGTAACATTATTTTGCGTGTTGCTTGATGATTCAAATAGTGGTATTTGCACGAGACCAGACGGAAAGGGAT